TGGTGGAGGGTCTCTGGAACTGCTGCTGTAGAGCTTGAGGATCGTCGTTGGGTTGTCTGGAGCTCATGCTCGTACGCCCCGCGGATGGAGCAGCGGTAGAAGACGGCGGGGGGACCTGCGGAAGGGCCTTGACGGGTTTTTTATCCATCGTGGTTGACGACGTTTGGAACGAGATGGATAGTTGTGATTTTGAGGAGAATTAATTTGAGGGCTTTTGAGGCCCAAAAGCGAAAGGTCGTCGCGACCGATACACAGGCGAAGGGGTCCAAGGTGCAGAAAAAGAGAAGAGCACCTGGTTTGAAACGCGCTCTCCGCGACTCGGCAAACGTCCGATCCAACAGCGACGAGCGCAAATAACTTGCAAAATGTATCAGACTTTTAATGTTTTCTCCGTCTATTTCTTGTATTTTCGTCGTCGTCGTTGCAGGAGAAAGCGAGTTGCCGCTGCGGCACCCTTGGCGTTCGAATGGTCGATTTATGCACACTGCTTTGTGCGAGCGCTTAGGTAAGACAATCCATTTATATCCATCGCATTGCCGTCCTCACTGAAACGTACAGCTAGGCGGTACGAGGGTACTGGAAACACGGGGGATATTTTAGAAAGGTATTTTGGAGATGTCGGTGTGCTAGCGATATCCATTCGTATTCGGCGTCGTCGTGCAGACGGTCAAGCTGGCCAAGTGCCCGATGTCAGTCGCTAATGCGGGCTGGGCATTTCATCTCACAACAAGGGTCTCTCCGCATATGATACACAGTAACATTCGCATATTGCTCCTCCGTGCGCGCCCTCCGTCTACGCTAACTGCACACTGCACACCGCTCACATATGTTGGATAACCTATAAAACCGCCACCACACTCTTCCTGTTATCAGCGATGTAGCGCCTCTGCAGAGCAAAGAGCGCGCTTCATCGTTATCCCCGAGAGGGCCATTCACTTGTTCAGCTCTGCCGCCCTTCGTCTCAGTTCATCGCGACTCTGTTCGAATAGCATATGGAAAAGGGCCGGAGAATAGCACATGGGTCAGTCAGCGTAACAGTTATAATGGACTCGCACTCACCAGAGGCTCCTCTACTCCCTTCTTTTGTTCATCGCTCAAGATATGAGGTCCCTTGTCGCCCAGCTGAGCGATAGAAGACATTACACTCCCGATGGGGTTCGACTCGTTTCGCAAATCGGCAGGGTTATTCGTCTTCTATAAAATCACAACAATCATTCAGTGGTGTGATAAATAACAGTTAAGAAGAAAAAGTCTATCGCGACATGTAAGGGAAGTGGGTGGTAGCCACCCTGATAGGCCACATCCAGCAAGCTGAATGACGTACCTCCCACAAAAATCAGAGAGGAGAGGGGAATGGATACGTACAGCTGGATGAGGGAGAATATGGAACATATGTTCCTCTGCTTGCTTGTTCTGGTTGTTGTTCGAGTGGCTAGACATGTTGAGGTGGAGCTCAAGTTTGGATGATTAGAGGTGGCGGAAGGTGACATGTGGACCTACCCTAACTCTCTGTTGATCGCACAATAACTCTGCTTTTTAACATCCTATAACTCTAAGACTCGCTCACGAGCACGGATCTCAACTGCGCAACTTGCCGGGGAGGATTGAGAAATAGATATTGCTACAAAACGCCAACCACCATCTTCTATACCGATCAGAAAATAGCTACGTTGTCTCTCTCCACCAAACCACCCGCAACCCCATCCTTTCTGATCTTCACCTTCTCTTCGCATGTGTTGCATGTCAGCCACAATCAGGCATATAGAGTGAATAGATAATAAGCAACCTGGCTTAGACACCGATCGCGTTCTTGCCTTCGGGTACGTGCTTATCACCACTCTCCACGAGGTTGCCACCCAGATTGTCCGGTAATGCAAGCGTCCTGTCGTCTACTTGGCTCAACAACTTGCCTCCAAACATGACGGGGCCGTTCAGCTCGCGGAACTCTGCAATTCGGCGCTCCACCTCAGGTCCTGCAGGGGGTCAGCGAGGGTTTTAGAAAAAAAAAAAAGTCGCGGGACGTACGGAAGTGGCGCATGAGTCCTTGGATGGGCCAGGCTGCTGCATCACCAAGAGCACAAATCGTTCTTCCTTCAACTTGTTTCCTGGGAGTGTGTGAGCAAAAGTAGGAAGGAAAAAGGGGGTTGACGCACGTGATCTCGAGCAACATGTCGATTTCTCGTTGGTGACCGCGTCCTTCGGTTAGACGGTTCATCATGTTCATCATCCAAGTGGTACCTTCACGGCAAGGTGTGCATTGACCGCACGACTCGTGCTTGTAGAACTGGGACGGGTCAGGTTAGTTTATAGGAAGGATAAGTGGGCCAACCTTGGCGAAACGAGCGATAGCAGCGACAACATCTGTACTCTTGTTCATCACAATGACAGCTCCCGTTCCCAAACCAGATTGTGCGTCCTTGAGCGAGTCATAGTCCATGCTGAGATAAATGAGCACCAGTACACACTCGTCATAGTTTTACTCACAATACTTCTCCGCACTGCTTGATGGGAAGAATGGGTACAGAACTTCCACCGGGAATGATACCCAACAAATTGTCCCACCCCCCAACAACACCACCACAATGCTTCTCGATCAAATCCTTGAGCGGAATACTCATCTCCTCCTCCACAACACAAGGATTGTTCACATGTCCCGAGATACAAAACAACTTTGTCCCCTGGTTCCTCTCCCGTCCAAACGACGCAAACCACGGTGCACCCCTTCGACAAATCGTGGGTGCAACCGCAACCGTCTCCACATTCGCCACCGTCGTCGGACACCCAAACAATCCAACATCAGCCGGGAACGGGGGCTTTAATCTCGGCTTGCCCTGCTTGCCCTCAATACTCTCAATCAGCGCCGTCTCCTCACCACAAATATAAGCACCAGCACCCCTATGCACATAGATATCGAAATCGAATCCGGACCCACAGGCGTTCTTGCCGATCAACCCCGCCTTGTACGCTTCGTCGATCGCTTGTTGGACGCGTTGGGCTTCGAGGTAGAACTCGCCGCGGATGTAAATGTAGGCTGCGTTGGCGTTCATTCCACGTCCTGCGACGAGACAACCTTCGACGAGTTTGTGTGGGTCTCCTCGCATGATTTCACGGTCTTTGCATGTTCCTGGTTCTCCTTCGTCTGCATTCACCACGAGATATCGAGGGCTAAAGTCACACCGTTCAACGTACTAAAAGAGAATGTATGTATGGGCACACCGTTTATCCGCTTGCCAGTTTGGCTTGTTCATAAAGCTCCATTTGAGTCCACTCGGAAAGCCAGCACCACCTCGACCTCGCAACCCAGAATCCTTGATAGTCTGAATAATCCAGCTATCTCCTTTTAATAAAATATCTTTGGTTCGGTGCCAATCTCCCCTCGACTATAAAACCCAATGTTAGCCCCTCCGAAACATCACGTTCATTATGAAAGCTAGATAAAAAAACAATTCCAACCTTGGCACCCTTTATTCCATGGTCATGCCGGCAATACGCATTGGTGAAAATACGGTCTTGGTCTCGTAGGCCACCATATCGTTTTACGGGTGGTGCGTCCTGTACTGTTGCGAATGACCGTCGTCGAATGCAGCGAATGGCAGCACCTGTTTTGGGGGAGGAAGAGGTGTTTAGAAATGTTGCATAATGTTAATTTGGGGTACATGGGCACTGACGAGGTGCTGATGTGGACGCTGCTGTCGCCCGTAGCATTTGCGAGGCCAAACGAGATGGGGGTCAAAACTTGAAATCGACGACCAATCAACTCGCTCCTATTCACCATGCCTCGCGATGCCGCTTCAAGCAGAGTTCCAATACTCTTTATTTCGAGATAAACGAGGATATTCAATCTTGAGAGTCAAGTGCATATGCGTGAAAACTCCCGTGCTTGCCGTGCAGCGCGGACGACTTCATTTGTTCACGGGGGAAAGAGTAAATTGGCCACTATGGTACTGTAGTAGCACTAGATTCCACGCATGTTCGAGACTGATACTATTCTTAGGTCACGGACGCTTCGCCGCAGTGCTCGCCGACTCAGTCGCTGGATGGATATCACCGATTGCACCCTGCTCCATATATAAGAAGACGACTCCAGTGACTCCTAGATCCCCCATCTACACACAATGTCTCGCATGAGCATCACGTCGGCCTCTCGACTGCAGGCAGCCTCAAACTTGTCATGAAGGCCAGAAATTCGAAGTGCTTTTTGACCCGATTCTGTGTGCATATCCAAGGTTCCACCTTGAGCTCGGAAGGTCGCTGAAGAGTCGCGTTCGTAGATGGTGACCTCGA